TAGTCGTAATCGAATATGCATCCAAATTTTTGGTAAACATTTCCCAATTGTTAACTACAAACATTAAAACAGAAAAAATATAGAGGGGGCAGAGGTAATATTTTAAGCGAAGAAAATATCTTCTTACAAGGAACTTTATAACCTACACCAACCATAATTCTAATAACTCTTTTTTGAAGTCTAAAAATGCACATACTGTGATATGAATTCCCCCAGAAAATCAAGCCATAAGACATTATAGAATGAAAATAGGCAAAATAAATCATTTTGAGGGTATCAATATTTAGAAATTGTTTAGATCTTCTAATAATATAACAGGCTGTATTCAATTTCATTATAATTGATTCAATGTGTTTTTTGCACGTTAATAGGGTATCCAGCATCAGTCCTAGAAATTTTACATCATTTTGTTCACGTAAATTATTACCATAGGTAATATTAGATTATCGAGGTAACCCTGTTTTACAGAGAATTTCATACAGCAAGTTTTGTCAAGATTCAGTGAAAGCATATTACAATGAAACCATTCGTTCATTAGTTTTAATACAATTGAAAGTTTGTTTTCTAGATTCATGAAGTTGAGATCATTTGTTAATACACTTGTATCATCAGCAAATAAAATTATTGAGGTATTATGAGGGCCAAACCGCTTGATAAAAGAAGGTAAAGTCATTAATATAGAACAAAAACAAAAGTGGACCCAGAATCGATCCCTGTGCAACACCTTTGGTAATTTTTCCCCATTTAGAGAATATATGATTAAATTTTACTCTCTGATATCTATGAGTAAGATATGATTCTAACAATAAATGCATCCTACCTTTTATTCACTAATATTTTAATTTAGATAACAAAATTGTATGGTCCACACAATCGAAGGCTTTTTCTAGGTCGAAAAATATGCCACCACACTTCTTTTTATTATTTAAAGTAGACAAGATTGGCCAGGTCATCACTGTCAGGTGGCCTAAGCCTCCTCAACAGACTTACAGACAACATGGAGTAAAAAATCCTTATTCTCTACTAAATTGCATTACCTATCCAAATCACTTATTACAAATTAAATTAAATTGTGTACAATACAAAGAAATATACAGACATGGAAGGTGCAAGGGGTGTTGACATTTAGGGATGCGACTATTGATGATGTGTATGTATCTCTCCATAACTTTGTTAACACACATTAATTGTAATAGCCAAGGGAAGTAAGTTTTCATCTGTCTGAATACTGTGGGTAAATGCATGTAGATTAGTGTTTCCGTAGTTTACAAAGTGGGGGGGACAGCTTAGTCAGAATAATGATGGGCTAGGGGCTGAACGACCAAGGAATCGGGGCTTGATTCTTGACAGGAATGGTTATACCTCCACAATTATACTTATTTTATTCTTGTTCATTCTAGTTCTTGATTCTCTTTTGCCTGTGTACAATTCATCTCTTCTTTGGTGGGTTTCAAGTGCATTAATTTGTCTTCAGGTAGTTACCTGATGATGTCTGTTTTCATGTGTTACATCATTGTAACTGTCTGTGTTTATTTTGATTTTCAATCACTGCATTTCACTCGACATTTNGACACTAACATAATCAAAAGACCGAATCAGACAAAACGAGAACAAAAATCAAACACAAATGACGACGAACAACAACCAAAAACAAAGTGGGCCATATTTACATATAGTACAAAAGAAGTAAGAAAAATTACAAAACTTTTTAAAGACACACAGATAAAAGTAGCATTCCGCACACGTAACACAATAGAAAACATACTCAAACAAAAACCACAATTAGATAAATACAATAAAAGTGGCATATACCAAATGAAATGTGTAGATTGCCCTTTGAAATACATGGGACAAACGGGCCGAACATTTAACGCTAGATATAAAGAACATATACATGATATTAGAAATAATAATTGCAATTCCGGGTACTCAAATCACATACTAAATACGGGACAT